CGGTGCCACGGGGGGTGTCGGTGTCGCGGCGGTAAGGACGGGATCCCGCCGGTCCCGCTCGGTGCCGGCGGCGGCATGGTGGATGTGTTCAGCGGGCGGCTCCTGGTCAGCAAGGACGGGCGCAGCGTGGACCCCGAGGCGGCCCTGCAGAACAAAGTCGTGGGCTTGTACTTCTCCGCCGGATGGTGCTCGCCGTGCCGCGACTTCACCCCCGTCCTCTGTGATTTCTACACGGAGCTGCTGGAGGAGACCGAGCCCCCCGCCCCCTTCGAGGTCGTCTTCATCTCCTCCGACCACAGCGCCGAGGAGATGGTGGGCTACATGCGCGCCATGCACGGAGACTGGCTGGCCCTGCCCTTCCACGACCCCTACAAGCAGTGAGTACCACTGCCACCCCCGCCCGAGGGCTGGGAGCGGGCAGGCGGGGCACTTGAGCAGCAGCAATGCAGCAGCTCCCGGAACATCCTCCTCTGCCCCCTTAGCCCGTCCCTGCCTCCCGCTGAAGCCCCTGGAGCCCGGCTTGCAGCATCTCCCGGCCCGAGCCGCGGCTGCCCTGGCTGCTGCTGCTCGCCTGGCTTTAGCCCGTCCCATACGTTAAGAACGCGGCTTGGTGCACCTCGTTTGGAAACTAAAAGTTCTTTGAACAAGAGTTGGTAAAGACCCCGTGTGTTGATTAGATGAGTGAGGTGAAAACAAACAATTTGAGGATCAAGTAATTTCTTTTCAGCACGGCAGTAATTGTTACTAAGGCTGGTCTGCATTGTCTAAGTTAGTGCTCTGGGAAAAGGCAAAAGACGCAGCAAAACTTGTAACTGAACTACTTGAAGTAGAGCAAACTGTGAAGAATTTCAGACAGGTACAGTATCACTGGAGTTTAGCGGAGTTGGAGTTTAGCGGTGGCATACCGCACCCGGTAACTGGGGTGTAAAATTCCTGCGCTGTTCAGTTTCCCAAATGACATTCCTGTAGGCAGCTTGCTCACGAAAACAGCAAAAGGAAAGGGCACGACTGTGTGCGAGTAATGGGGTGAAGGATGATACCAAGAAATGCTTTGATGACCTAGGAGACATTTGGATTACTTTCAGAAATCTGATTTAGCTCCTACGAGTAGAAACTGGGATTACAGGAGGACAAGTAAGATGTTCAGGGTTACTGAAATGCTGTAACTGGAGACTTGAGATACATGTAAATATTGATAAAGGGACTTTTTCCCCTACTCTTTAAATGAGTCAGCTGTGGAAATTTTTTTCCAGATTGTACCAAAGTCAAGAAGCAACATGACTTTTAAATGTAGATTGGGTAATAAAACTTGCAGACAAATTAATTCTTCTAAGAGAGAACTCTTTTCTAGTGCTTCTAGTAACTTCTTTCCTTTTAATTCTAGATCCATCCCACTGTGCTACCTGGCTCATTTCTGGATGCCCACTGCCAGTTTACGTTAGATCTTTTTCCCACTGGCTTAAATACTGTTTTCCATAGCTCTCTACAGTCTTCCCAGGCAGTAATTGTATTTGATATCTACTAATCATAATAGAATGCAGGCAAATTTCCTGATGGAAACGTAGCACTTGAAGTCTCTGCACCCAGCAAGCTCTTCAGCATGGGAATGTGCTTACAGCTTCATCCTCTGTGGATTAGAGGTCTATTTCTGACTGCTCTTGCTCAAGTCTTGTGGAGTGGAGGCAAAGAGATAGTTTAATTGGCTTTTCTGTGGCATCCTGCAATGTCCTTCACAGTTCTGTAGAGGAGCTTGGCTTCTCCTGCCAGATGACTGAGATCACAGTGTCTTTCTGAAGAACAGAGTGGAGAGGGATATGCACAAGCAATGTTTTTGAAGTTGTATTTCTTGTGTGTAACAGTAAAGGACTCTGTGGAGCTGCTGCGGATTAACTGGTAGTTTGGTGTCAGGGGTACTGGTGAATCATTGTAGACTTAGAGGAGATGTGTAGTCACTAATCCAAACTATAATTCTGGCTAGATACTAAGTCTAATTAAGAATATAAATTTTTATAAATGGGTAAGAGAATTGTATTATTATTTTAAAATTTATTAATATTTTTAAAGTTCCATAGCAATTAATTGAATTGGCTATTGTTTTTTTTTTTGACTGTGTAAAGAAGGCATTTAATATCTTCAGTGAGGTTAAAATATCCTAGTTTATTGCTTCAGTGTTTAAGGTACACAATTGCAGTATAGACTGATGTCTCTTCTAGACAAAACAGAGCCAAAATTAAGTATTACCATCCAAAATACTTTTCAACAACAGAAGCATTGATGATGAATTTTGTCTTAAGAAATAGCCAGCATTCATATTTGTAGTGTGTAGAGCTTAACACTGCAGTGTCAAGCCTATCTTCAGAGAAGCAAAATATTGAATTCAAAGCAGGATATCCAGACTCTCCCATGATATCAGTCATGACTGTTTTCCAGAGGTGTGACAGCACCTTACTACTTCCTGAAGTCTGTGGCATGAATAGGAAATACTGCTCCTGATCCTTTTACTGTCTGCAGGTTAATCTAATTTTTTTTTTGTTGCCTGAGGCACAGTAGTAGAGTGTGAGGACAGTCTGGTAGGGCTTGGAAGAGAAAGAGGGTAGTAGAGAGGAAAAGCAGGTGTTGGACATTTCATGTCAACAACAAAGATTGTTAGAAAGGATTGATGTTTTGATAATGGCACACAAAGACATACTGCTGTGTTTGTACTGAACCCTGTGGTGAAAGGCATCAGTTTTTGTGAAGGTGCCTGGTGTTTACAGTAGTTCTTGTAGGCTTCCTGGTTGGCAGGTATTTACTGAGTTGGCCTGTACAGCTCAGTAAAAATTAGAATTATAGAAAATGCCCATAAAAGGAAAATAAAAAGGTTGTACATTTTATGTTAGGAAGCTTTATGTATGAGGGTGGATTGGCACCTCCAGAAATACTGGGGAGGATGGGGGATTAAAAAGCAAAGAAAGAATAATGTTAAGTATCTGAACAGTTAAGAGCAATTGCTTAGTTCTTAGACTTTTTAGATTGCTATTGCAAAATCTCAGCAGACACTTTAAAACTGAATCCCAAGCATGTGACGTGCATGCTTATGACTAAGATTTAACAATGCAGGAATTTCACAGCTAAAAGAAAATACTTACAGCTGTGTATTGCAGGGCATACTGCTAGAAGCAGATGAGAAAGGTGCCCATCACTTTCACATGACAGCACTTCCAAGTGAAAGCTGTTATAATTATTATAAAGGTGTTATAATTAAGCTGTTATATGTGTTGTCAGATATCACATTACACATGTTTATAAAATTTATCCTTTATGTTCCCAAGATTATATTGTATCTGCCCCGTGCAGTCTTCATGTCAAGAACACTCTTGCACATAGATCTTATATTGAGATACCTGTGTTGTATCTCAGCCTGGGTAGGCAGTCAGACCCCAGACAGCTGCTGGGTCACTCTGTCCCCATGGGATGGGGGAGAGAATGTGGAGGGTGAAAGTGAGAACACCTAGCAGCCGAAATCAAGACAGTTTAATAGATAAAGCAAAAGTAAAGATACACAGGCAAAGCAAGATATGAAATTCATTCACTAATTGCCATTCACTGACAGATATTTAACAGTTTCCAGCACAGGGGAGCTTCATCCTGCAATGATTGCATGGGAAGATAAATCTCCTGGCTTTGAATGTTGGTCCCTTCTCCCTTCTTTCTTCAGCTTTTACAGCTAATCATTCTTAGGGCATTTGAGATCAGCTGTCCCACTGGTGCCTCCTCACAGGTTCTTGTGCACCACCAGCCTACTCACAGGCATGGTAGCAGGAGAAACAGAAAAGTCCCTCATGCTGCACAAGCACTGTTCAGCAATAGCTAAAACACTGGTGTGGTATCAGTGCTGTTTTGGTATGGAGCTGCTGTGAAGAAAATTAGCTCTCAGCCAATGTCAGTATTGTCTGAAATAATTTATCAGGAATACAAAATCTGTGCTCTCAGAAACTTTCATCCAGCCTTCTCATAAAAATAAAAAGATCTAATGGCTATGACTTCCAGTTTGCCTCAGTCTCAATGTCACGTGTTTTTATTTCTACTTATGGTTTAATGATACCATGAGTTGCCATTGGAGTTAGTCCCATGGCACATATGTGATTTGTGCAGGTGAGTCATGGGATTTTAGGTCCTTTTGGAGAGAATGATCTTAATAAGTTTTGAGAAGCCATTTTTGTAAGCACATGTACACAATGATTAAGAAGAATTTTCTGCAGAACTCTTTCTGAGCCTTCTTCAGGTCCATCGATCTTGAAAGCTGCACACAAATGTAATCATAACCTGTGCATGCTTCAGTCTGGTTTGATGCAAGCAACCTTCTGCCCTAAGGCTGTGTGAACAAGGTGCCATGCTGGGCTGGATATATGCATTCCCTTAGGAAAGTGAAGTGTAAGATTCCAGTCTCCATACCAAATTACCTTCAGTCTCCATGAGAGTAGTTTTACGTGGCTTCTATGCATACTTCCTTGGGAATATGGTTTTTTTTTTTCAGCTGTTTTAGTAGGTTTTGGAAAGGTCTATGGGGGTTGTTGGTTTATTGCTTGTATGTCACAATTCACTGAGAAAGCAAACCTGGCCCATACCCGTTACTGCTGCTTCTGTAGTATTTCCTGCATTATTGCTCAGCCAACATAATGGCAGAGCAGTGTCTTTCACCTTGTTTTTCTTCTCTTAAAGAAAAATACAGAAGGGGAGGCACATTTCAGGAATGTTTTATCTGGGTTAGTATTTCACTTTCTTATTTTTTAGTATTTTTTTTCCTCCCAGGAAATCATTCAGAATGCCTATGTATTAGTGTCAAGCATTTTTTAACAATGTCTATTTTTTTTCTACTCAAATTTCTTTGGCTTTTGAACCTCATGCAGCCAAATGTTCTTGCTTGTGGTGATGGTGCTCAGGCAGCATACTTCCATTTAGTATTTAAAGTATGTTTTGCGAGAGATGTTAGTGTTTTGGAATTTGCCTATTCTGTTATTGCCTGGTTGGTGTTTATCCTCTGGTTCTCCTAAAGGTGCAGAGGAGGAGTTGAAATTTTTTTCTTTGGCAACACAGATGGGTGGCTCTTATTCCAAAAACTGTTCCATTTACACAAAAAGATTATTCATCATGCTTTCTTTAATGGTGATTTCAGGAAGTAGCACTATGGATCACTCAAGTGTATTTGTAGGGGAATGAATATCAAATGCTAATCTAAGTGAGATCCTTCTCCTGTCCTGTAAAAAGGGCCCAGAATGACATCTGTTTTGGGCTAGTAAAAAAACAGGTGGAAGAGTATATCAGACTTTGCTTCTTTGGACAACTTTTACATCTCCAAGAGCCTGTGCTCCTGTGGAAACTGCAGGCAGCAGTGATGAGCATTTACAGGAAGGATGCTGCAGCTCTCTGAACTCTCAGAGCTGCATTTCACTGTGTAGGCTTCCAGCTACAGCCTTGATCATCTCCTTACACTACCCAGTGCTCTGCCTCAAACTCTGAGGAAGCCCAGGCACTTACCACTTCTGCTCTCCCATGTGTCCTGGACAGAGTGGCATTTGTGTAAAGACACTAGGAGTTTTCTTAAAATGCTCCTAATGACGTGTTTCATTTTTAATTTTTTTCCACAGTGATCTGAAGAAGAAATACAACATCACAGCCATTCCTAAACTGGTGATTGTGAAACAAACTGGAGAAGTCATTACTGACAAGGGAAGAAAACAGATCAGAGACAAAGGGCTATCCTGTTTCCGGAACTGGCTTGAGGGTGCAGATATCTTTCAGAATTTTTCTAGCTAAGAGGTTGACAAATAAAAGCAAGAAAAGGCATTGTGGAAAAGTTGGTAGAGTTCTGAAAAGACTCTTGCTTTTTTTGTATGAGAAGGGTAAGATTTATTTATTTATCTTTGCTTGAAAACAAATTTTGGGTTTGACTTGAAGACCAGTTATTCTAGTATCATAAACTGCAATTATTGTTGTATTGTTATATCTGTGGTATTTAATATGAACCACAGTGTTCCAGACAAGAAGAACTTCAGAAGAATAGGCTGTTTAGACAGCAATAATAGAAATCTGTGAAATCTATGCAAACATTTTGCAAAGTCAAGACAATAAAAATAAATGCAAAAAACCTATTTATTGATGAGGGTTTTTTCAGGCAATTAGCACATTTTATTAAGAAAATGAAACTATTTGCTTTAATAAATTACTGTTTATGAAATATGTCTCATGTATTTCCTTACCTATCTCAACAAGAATAATCAGAAAATGTCATGACTTTAAAATAGAACATATTTGTCAGTACTGAAGAAATATTCTTCTACTTCATTGTACTTTTATGGGATTTATTTATATTTATTTATAGTTCTGCTCAGTTTTCCTTACCCCTAGATTTTAAAATGTTGCCCTATAAGCTAACTAAAGGATTCAAATTAGATGATATTTGTGGTCCTTTCCAACACAAGCCATTCTATGGTTATGTGATGTTAGCTCCCAAGTTAACATCAGCTCAGGTTAAGAAGAAATTATTTTCCATCTTTTCTTTTGCCAAAATATGTAGAAGAAAACATCACAAATTATACCAGGTCTCTCTGATGAATGCTCCTGTTGTATCTAAAACACAGCTTGATTTGCTGTCTCTTCATGGTTGGGGTCCCAGCCCAGACATTCATGCCATTAATGAGCCAAAAAATCCCACTTCCCCATGCAAGCCAAGTGTTTGTTGATTAGAATTTAAAGACTTTAACAGAGTTATTATTGTTTCCATTACAAGCACTTATGTTAGTAACACCTGAAGTCTGGCTGACTCAATTTGGAGCAGAAGGGGGTCCTGGTCCCCTGACTGCCCTTGGAATTCTGACTCCCTGTCCATCCCTGGGCTGTGTGCGTTCTGTAGAGACATTTCAGTGAGTCACCCCAGAGTGCTGATCCCTCAGGGCGTGGTTGTTCTGCTGACAGCTCTTTGCGTGCCTGTGTTTGAAGGGTTTCCACAGCTTTGTTCTGTTGGTTGGGATGTCCCATCTGCAGTTATTGGTCACTGACCCCATCCACGAATGTCTCTATCGTTTGCTGAGGTACCTTTGCCTTACCATGACAAAGCAAAGAGGGTCTTTAATTTAATATGAGTGAGTAGGTAAGAAGCAAGTACACCAGAGAAACTGATTTTTAAATGAAAAACAATAACTCTAAAAAGTGTCCAGCAGAGCTGTGAGTTCTGAGCACCTTTAAGCTGTTTTTAAAATTACGCCTGGCTACACCACAGGCAATTTCTGTTTTTTGCCATCTCACCGTATAAGTATTATTCATGGTCTTTCCTAATGAATGCTAAACTCCTTAATAAATTTTTTGGGCAAGTGAGATGTGAGCTCTGCCTACTGGTCTGCAACGACCTAATAGATATATTTCAAATATAAGATGAGAAAAAAAATTAGTTGAAGTTTTTCCAAAATTTTTAAGATAGGTTCCCTGAATATGGAATAATTTATATAGCAAAGGTATCCACTGCACCTTATTATCAGGTGCCAGGCATTACTTCAGCCAAGATATCTTGATTCATTGTTTGTCTATATACACATATATGAAAGAACTCAGTATTTTACACAGAGATGGACTTAGGCTCTTTGGATAATTGATACAAATTAAGTAACACAAGTTACAAATAAAATTCAGCTTATAATTCATAATGATGAAACAAAGATATAAACTATAAAAAGCTTGATGTGATTCAATAAAGGACTGTTGGTTTTGCACATCAGTGTTTGGAATATCAGAAAATTGTTTCCCTTTTCAGTGGAAATAATCCATGTTTGACCTAGATGAAGTACAGATAAGTGGAAAATATTTTCTTATTAGCAATAACTTGTGAAATTAGAGAAGCAAATACTAGTGGGTCATCTGTAAGGGTTATTATTACTTGGAATGTGTGTTCTTTACAGTGTACTCATCATAGAATGTACAGAATTGCCCCTTTAATGTTCTTAATTTTTTTTTTTAGTTCACTGATTACTTTCTACTCTCTAGTTACAGTCACCTTGAATATTAGTGAATTTTAAGTGTAATGGGGGAAAAAACCTCATTTTTAAAATACAACAATAGACAGTAGCATAGTGATTATGGTTGCTGCTGCACCTTTTTAAAGGTGTCAACTAAAAAAAATAATATTAAGAGGAGGCTCCTAATTCCACTGGACAAGACATTGTCCATTATTAGTAAATAATTTATGGATCAATATATGCTAAGATTGCATAAGATCCAGTGATGTTAAATTTGTTGTAGACTTTATGGACAATTAATTACTTTACTATGAAAAATGGCAAGGACTGTAAGTTGCTACTTTGTGAATTTACAAATAGTCTGAATCTTGTAGAGCCTTGCTGGAGGTGAGTGCTGCAGGCTGTCCTGTGACTCTTTTTTTAGAAAGAGGTAAAGCAGACTGGTGGCAGATTCAGACATGAAATAAACATCAAAAAGGCAATGAACATCTTTCTCTTTGTTAATCTTTTATTCCTTTTATTCCTTAACCGTGCTCTTGAATAAATATTTCTTCTTCCTCCTCCAGAGCTGCACTTGTCAAACTTTAATACCATTATGATATATTTAAATATATATATCTACTCATAGAAAGGGGAGGTGGGGTGGGTGGGGTGTTTAATCTCTGCTATTTCACCTAAACTCCTCAGTTATGATATTTTGGGCTGAAGAAAAAAGTAGATGCTTGAAAAGTCCTTGAAATTATGTCATGATATCTTGATATGCATTTTTAATACTAACTTAATATTTCACTTTTCTTCTCAGCTGAGAGTACCTACAAAATATGAATAGCTCTTCCTGCAATATGAGGTAAATCTAGACTGCAAACAGATGTTCTGCAGAACACAAGTAGTTGGTACATATATGACAGGGTTTTTTTGCTTTCCATTTCCTTTCCACCCTGTGCACAGCCTGGTTTTGCCTTTTCTGCAGCTGAGGTTTTTTTAAAACCAGACACTGATAAAAGTTTAAAAGTTACGTGTTCTCTCTCTGCAGGCAATATTCATAAAAGGGCAACCCTGAATTTTTTTCTGTCAGTTTCTGTGAAGATGGACATATAAATGACCATCACCAAATAGAAACACTTTTAAGCCTTTTACCTCCTCAATGGCATTTAATTTCTCTAGTAGATGAGGTTCAATGATCAATCTCATGACTCTCTGATATTAATTAATGCTGTTGGTGTCAGGTGAAGAAGTTGCTATGGAAGGTGTTATTTCTATCCAAAAAACCTGCATTTAAGCACAGTGGTGCAGTCCCAAAGAAATACTTCAAAGTGAAGTTGAAGAAACTTGGCACAGGAGTGTTCTTATGTAGATTTCTGTTTGGGCAGGAATTAAAATGGGAGCCCTAACAATTCAAACAGATAAACAAAAGTTGTAAGCAGGTTGTAAATAGACAAAAGCGCTGTCCTAGAAGTGTTTGTACTGGCTGTTCCAGTAACTCTGCCTACTTGGACTTGTAGGACATTGACAAATCAATAGATTCTTAGAAAAATAAACAACCGTTTTGCATAGGCAGTAGCCAAACCTCCCCAGTCCTTCTTGTACAAATAATCTGAAGTGCATGCACAGGACATCAAAGGACATATTTTTCAGAGATTACTGTTTTCCCAAGTATATCATGAGGGCACATTTCCCATGCAAACATAAAATTTACTAATACTGTTATGCTTGGATCAAAAGTTATTTGATTTGAATTAGTGGGGCTTTGTCCCAGAACAAGGCCATTTAGTGAGATTCTCTTCTTTGGCAGTTGCTTCATTTTGGCTTTGAAAGGCATTCAAGTTTCTAGCAGGACTGTAAAAATCTTAAGTTCTCTTGAACAAATAGCTAGCCTGTTTAAGCATAGAAGAGGATGTTTTTAATAATGTTTCATTAATGCAGCCATCTACTGATTATTCTTATTTCTTACTTGGAAATTAATAGCAATATCGTCAGACTCAAATGGTTCATTGAAGCTTATAATCATTGTGCAAGTGACTCTGCCTCTCTGCCCTGGCTTCTCCCAGTATAATAAATACATCTCTGAAGACTGAGCTGTTTGAAGGGTGCTCTGAAGCTCCAGGCATGCTGATGCAATGCCAATGCATACACAATTATGACCCGGTGCAGTCTACGTAAGCTGGAACGCAGCTGTATCTTGGCATCACCAAAGCAAAATTCCATGATCTACATCTAGATACCTCCTCTCTACAACTTTATAAAGCTGCTATCACATATAGTCCTGTCTGGTGAAGACAGCAGAGAATGAAGGACAGGAAAGGGGGATGAATCCTGGCTGAATCCTGGGGTCCCAGTCCTGGTTTTGCTTATCAACAGCGAAGAGCACATACTCTGTTCCCTGGATCCATACTACATGCTGTAGCTAGTTGTGTTTATGAAGAGTGCTGCTTTTAGTGATACCTTAGTTAACACCTATCATTAGAAGAGTATTCACATTAACATCTATCTCCATTTATATTTGAAGTTGACACATTATTGCCTCCTCCAAGAGAAATTTAAACAATCCCACATTTAAGGCCACAAAAGAATTTGAGTGTATGGAGGATTTTACTGTGTGTGTTGCAGAGGGAGAGATCAGCTGCAGAGACCCAGGCAGAAGTGTCCCATATGTGAAAAGAAGAAAGAACTAATTGCTTCAGGCTGAAGTAGTTCTAACACCATGAAAGAAGTTTGAAGTTGGTGAGACTTGGCTGGAACAAGCGTGGGGCTGTGATGGTAAAATTCTATTGTATTTGTTTCAGTCATCCTGCATTCAAGATGGCCTGAATTTTTTTAAAAATGAACAATATTGACCAAAACAAACCCCCTTCCGAACCCTGCAATTAGATGGTAATAAATTTCAAAGCTTCAAACCTTTGACTTTCAAACGGAGAGACAAATTGCCAACTTTGTCTGAGTCTTCTAGCAATGTCCAAAATTAAACTACTTTCTGGCTGGTATGTGGAAGCAGCCCTTTGGTGTGGTCAAAATTGGATCCAGGACACAGCAACATCACAAATGAGAAATGGAGTAGCTGGACAGAGGGCTGAGTTCATATGGATGCAGTTTCTGGGTTATCAGGAAGAAATGGGTACATCTGCTGAAACACTGTTCCCTTCTATAGGGATGCTGCTGCTTTGACGTATCAATCCCCTTCCCAGAGCAGTTTGTATCTGCTGTAAATGTTTGTAAACTCTAGTAGAGTTGT